TTCTTGAGAAACTGTGAAAGCCACGTGCGGTCGAAAGTTAGAAAATGACGTGCAGGAAAGACAAAATCTATCTCTTCCTAACTGTTTTTCTTCTAGAAGAACAGCTGATGAACAACGTCGATTCGTGTAGACACTCATCACGACCAGCTTAGATTTCGATTGTAGTCCCTACTGCTCTTTGAGCTTATGGAATTGGTCCCGAATAACCGTATTTTCTCCGTGGCAGCCATTAAACGCAGTCCGCGCTCATTTAGTGGAGAACGCAGCTATCAGTCCTCTTATTACTTTTAGGTTCACATTCTGTTGTACGTTCAAGTAAATGGCAAAAAACACCTAAGTGACACGTTCCTTTTCTTAACTAACCAGTGAAGACTAGTCCCTTCACGAATTATGGCCTCGTCCTCCACGAATTTTGAGAGCTGTGGTACTCGTAACAAGGCAGGAAAACTAGCTACACACGGTGATGTTGCATATATTCCTTTCGCATCTCTATTATGTTTTTCGTTACTTTTTTATGTAACACTGCACCCTTTTATCCTCTCGATAAGCATGGAAGCGTAGGTTTACGCTATTGTTTAATGGACCACGAATAAGAGCCTGCTTGGAACAAGGAAGAACTTTCCTAACGTATTGCATCGTTTTCTCAGCATAATTCCATTATTTAAAGTTTTTAGGTAGTGGATTTAACCAACTAACGTTGTCTTAAATTAAACACATATTATCGCCTTTAATTCTAAAATCTAAAATTATTAAAATTAAATTATGCGTGACAAAAACAATCAGTTGAAAAGCTGATCACTTTGCATTTTCCACTTTTATGTGATTAGGTGGGGGCGTATAGAAAGTGCATATAGATGTTCTGTATGTGGTACACACTTAGTTTTTGAGTTGATCCCAAGGCCGACCCTAATTAAGTCGCGCACCCGTTGAGGATCGGCGAATTGTTGCCAAATAGTTTTGGTAAAACAAAAACGCTGATTTGATATAATAGTAGATCCCCTCAAGTTACTGTTCAGAGAAAATATGCATCCATTGCTCTCTACGGTTCTACGAACGGAGTCAAATGCATGGCGCATCCTTAAACAATTAAGCAACGCCGAACGCTTTACACTCTGGATTAAAAAATTATTGCAAGTATAATATTTTGGTCGATAACTAACGTATAAGCGTTCGGCACAAGGAACTGAGTATGACGTATGTTCGTGTGTAATATTGCTGAGAGTCAGATGCAGAAATGGAAGTACTGTTCATAAATTTCTTGACTTTCGAATGAAGCACGTCTATTATTAAGAATGAAATCGTATTGACAGTGGGTACTAAAAGTGAAAAATCGACTCTCTGACTTTAATGTAGGCGTTCAATGGTTTCTAATTTTACTTGCTCTAATGTTCACGGCGTCGATCTTTCCATGCACCATATATTTTAAGTTACTGCCACACATCTCCCCATACAACATAGAATCCATACAACATAGTTCGAAGCAAGAAAAATCGGTCTCTAGCAAATTGAATTGTGAACATATAGAAATACGAATTATGGAGTGATAAGAGAAAGGAAAACGAACTGAAATGAATAACACGATCGATCGTGCTGCAAACTGGTCAAATCTACCGAACTACAAATTTCAACACGACAAAAACAGACCCACAAGGTCGTAAACAAAAAATAGTCTCTTTTATTGTCTGGCCCGTAAAAGTGCACAACAATAAACACATACAATTATAATTATTAATAGTTGGCGCGATAAGGCAACTAAGGTGGCATCGTAATAAAGTGAACGTGACCAACCAGCTGTATTCCACTGCTCTAGAAAAAGTAAATTATAAGAGAAACAAGAGACGGTTATGGTAGCGCTCCATACAACTATAATAAAGCAGGATAACAGCGAAAAAAAAATGAGAGAAAATCGTAAACCATGTGGTAAACAGCATAAGGAAAAGTGGAATCATCCTCCTAATAAATTCGGAAAAAAAGAACAACAATGGAGTTCTCATTTGCACCAAAGTGCTCTTTGAGGGATGGCTTTTTATCATTTCATAACAATTTCCTGCATTTAAAACATAAAAGACTAAAGGAGTTGCTAACTGGGAGTAGCATTAACTGCAATAAGAAAACGAAGTAGTATTTGGCCAAAGTGAAAAATCTGCTTAAAAATAATGGCAAGGTAAGCCGTACTTCGACCATTTTCACTCATTTGAACAACATAGCACTAATGAAAACGGGAACAAGTAAAACTGGAGGCCATTCGGTCATACAGTAACCAACAGTAACCAATCAGAATTCAGTAATGCGATTTCCGCTGAAGGCACGTACTGGACATCTAGACATCCGAACACTCCGGGTTGCTACCATTTCTTCGAGCCCTGATTATAAAAGCAACTTAACATTAACCAGCAATTAATTTTCTTCTATCTCATAGATAAGCTTGAAAAGTATTATACAGATTCCTAACTGCAAATTTGTAATGGAAAAATGACTGTGGGGCTGATTCTCATGGAAATATATGTAACTCACAATGAGAAGAAATTGGCAACTAAAAACTGCTCAACGTATTCATAACTTTAGTAAGAAAAATAGCAAGAAAACAAGGAAAAGATGTCCGACAGCGATCTTTTCCGTAATATTTATTTTCAGACTGATGAAAGTTGTGTGGTTGATGTGTATAGAACGGAATGAGAAACCCGAATCGTACGAAAGCACCTAGCTTGAATTCACAATAAAAATGCTATGATATGAAATTAATGTGGTAATTACTCTTCAGGCCACATCCATTGTCAAACAGAAATTCTTCTGACAATATTTCAGATCTCACTAGTGGTTAAAAAAACTTTAGTCTCATTTTCCTGCCTCATAAAAAAGAGATGAATGCCTCATGTCCATTACAATCAAGGCTCCATGAAATGAACCATCACTCCTTCTAATAACTTACCATGGTTACCAGAACGCTAGTAACCACATTTATTTCATTGTAAACTTTCCAGGAATGTCAAATAAAAGGAAATCCTCAAAATGTCGAGAAAAACCGTTCACGTTGATTCAAGCAAATAAAATTCAATTCGCCAAGTCGAAAAGATATCGTCTGGAGAAAACATGGCATTCTTGAGTTTTCTAATACTATTCGTGTGGTGTTATATGAGTCTGGTGTACTTCTTTCTCATCGTGAATTTTTTCAAATGCCGATTTTTGTCCCCGATATCCCTCTTTGGCGGCATAGTGCTAATAGCACCGTTAGGTTAAAAGCCGGCTGCGAGAAAGGCAAGGCGAGGGCCTCAGTGGTGCATTGGGTAAAACGTAAGCACCCGGAAAGGAAAATCGTGTGTTCGAAGTTGGCCTGGGGTCCCGAGTATTGCAAATATTTCATCATCGTAGTGGCCGATATTGCTCCCACTTATACACCAGTTGGAGACTTTCAACACAGAGTTTAGATACTCCTTGCAATATGTTCTGGACCGGGCTCTGATTCACTCCCGGGCTCCGGGTTCAACAAGTATTCCATCCCTTTGGGGTCGGAAAATTGCTGTCAAACTTGTAACGGAGGCTAGAAAACTTGACTAGATAAATAAGCATGCTGTCTCAAGTCATTGTATGTGCAAAACATGTATTAAATAATCACTTACGATGCTTAGTGAACTCCAATGGATGGCGGAATTGAATCATTTCAACGCTTTTATCCTCATACCGCAGATGCTATCGAAGGAATTGGTCCGCACGATAAGGTCGGGGTGTTAGCCGAATAAAAACTTTTATACAAACCTCGCTCCAGCTCAATCATACAGAAAATTATTGATTATTTTTCCCACTGTTTAATGGAAGTAAGTTTTTAAGATATTTATCGGCGCTATACGCTAACCAACAAACGAAGTACCGACTGCGACAGGATGCACTGTTAGCCCAAGGTAGATCCTATTGGAGGCGGGAATCAGTTAACAGAAACTGTGCAAAAGTGCACAGCTGGATGAAAATAACCATTTGAGCTGTGCTCCTTTCGCTGGATTCGACTCGATGCGGCAACGAATAACCACATCACGACGACGACGAGCTGTGGACCATCGACTGAGATCAAGACGGATCTGAAGAAGACGAAGACGTCGAAACGTCACGCGAAGAAAAGTTTTTATAATAACCTCGCATCAGCTTAGAAGCAAAATAAATTATTTCGTTTAGATGGTTACACATTCTGCTTCATCAATTCTAGACAACAATACCGCTGAGGAAGTGTCTATGCATTAGTGGCCTACTTCACGGCACCGCCTTCTGTATAAATTATATTTCCCACGCATAATCTACCAAGATTCCATTGTTGCTACACCAGTTGGCTGGAAATTGTTTTCAAAATCCTGCACTCAATCCGACCATGATGTATTTGTAAAGGAAAAATGTCGTTTTCAATAACGCAGTTCTTGGGTAGCCGCCTACTCTCAGCTTCCACGGCATTCTTAAACTTATTCCTTTTTTGGTCTCTGAGTTGAACAAATCAGAAAAGGGTGATTTATTCATGAAAACCAGATTTAATAAACTAGTAATATAGTTTCACTTCTTTGCTTCACCTTGTAATTATAATGAAATCACAACAAAATATTGTCCAAATAAAACATGTCCATCCGTTCAAGCCCTTGAATTCTCAACTGTTGTTATCGCCCCTATTTCCCTAATTTTTCAACTGCTTTTATTTCTCTTCAAATTCACAACAATTCAACTAAATTTTATGTACTATATGCAAGCACAGCTTCCGTAGCCGTTAAATTCAGCAGCCTTAGCACATTGCTTTGAGGAGACACGAATCACAAGAAGGTTAAGTTACACGCGAATTCATAAAGGTTAGAAGGGTTCTCCAGGTAACCAAACCTACCGTTAAATTTATTAACGGGCTTTGTTTTTCCGATAATCAGATCAACTGAAACTTGCGAAGTTTTATCATCTGCCTTTGACGGCGAATATCTTGAACCATATATGACTGACATCGTCAGAACCGAATTAAAGACACAATTCAAAAAGCCTACTCACACAGGTGGTCCATAGCGACTCGTAAAACTTTGCTGTCTCATCACATCCTGCAACGTTGCACAACGACAAGCCAACATTTCTCGAAAAGGCACACGGAAGTCTTTATTATACTTGCAATAAATAGCTGGATTTAAAGTGCTGAAAATGAAGCATTATGAATTATGGATTATGAACATTATGAATTACATGCCGAGAGAATATCGACTTCTCATAAATTCGGTTACTGTAACTCGACATCTTGTCAGTCCAATCCAGCAATGAGATATTGAGAATGGCAAAACATTTCAGTTTTCTAACAGAAGTTCAATAATCGAATGCAGAAGAACGGAGGTTCACTAACCCACGAGACATGCTACAGTTTAGGCGTAGCTTACCGCTCCGCATCCCTTTTATATGGACAAGAATACATATTCAACAACGGAGAGTGGAATCTGGTTCTGTTTAATTAGAAAAACACTTTCTCCGACAAAATAACACCAAATCATATCGAACCATGAGCGAATTTGATTATTCCAGACACGTCCAGGACGGACACAAATTTGATTGCGAGAAGAACTGCACAGTGAACATTCGTGTACGATCTTTCCACTTATTTCCACTTTTAACACTTTCTCATTTGCCAGTAAAGGTCTAAACACAATAAACAACTAGATTGCAAGCAAATCAAACTGATCATTGCTTCCAAGATGAATATTCCTTAGAGGACTGTTCACACTTTCATCAAAAACAATAAGCTAAAATCACAACAAGACTAATAAAATGAGATAAGTCACAGGGCATGTAGAACAAATTTCCAGAGCAGAATAGTTTTCGAAGTTGAATAGAGTCAATAGGGCAGTATTACATATTTGATGCAATATTTGTCATACTAGGTGAAAATGCGAACGATCGTTGCTGTTTTACAGCTCTTTTCGAAGTACATGTTAAGGTCATGAATTGGCCTTAATTCCTTCAAGTCTCAACACGTACAATCGGCTTGTGATTTCTACTAGTTTCAGACTTCGACTTGTTTTTATAGCACGTTAAACTACATCTGACTACCACTCTTCGAGCACCATATGCACCAATAAATCAAGAACAGCGTATAAAAATTGCTTTGCTAACGCATCAAACAGTTAAAAACATCGTGAAAGCACTGAGTCTCGTTAACTAAACCTCAAATTCAGGTGAACACAATTCTGTTCCCAAGCCTGTTCAAACTTCCTCACTACCTACCGTGAATTGGAAGATACTCAGGTGCGTCAAACAAGAAATCATTTTGTCCCTACTGCCAATTTTCGTCAGGCTTTCAATTTCGACTAATGTTTGACAAGGTTTCAATAATTTAAAGTCGAATTTGACTATGTAGGAAAAATTTTTTCCTCCGAGTTAAGAAAACAATTAAGAAATTAGCGAACAGAGATCAGCTAACTGATAACATAAGTACCTGGTATTGAATAAATATCAAAAAGCGGTAATGAATCCAGGTCAGCAGGAAAGTGAAGGCTTGTGACACACAATTAATTTTGTGTGTGTGTGTGTTTGCGTGTATGCATGTATGTATGTATTTTCGCGTATGTTTAAGTGCGTGGGTGTGCATGTGTATGTGACATTCAAAGAGCAGTGCTTTTGGAATATGCTATAAATCGGCAGAGTTATGGCGACATTACACCGTCTGTATAAGATTTCAGAGCTGTGTGAAGTATGCTCGTAAAATAAAAGATAAAGCATACCTTGTCTCGTGGGATAAGTTTGGTATTCTCTCACCCCATAAGGCATGTGCTATATAAGATGAACTGTGAACACATAAGCAGGAAAAAATTTGGATTTATAAGCGTACCTATTCGAATATCCTAACCATAGCGTCACGACATCAAGCCAATAAGGAACTTGTATTTCCATGCAAGACTTAAGCAACGCTAATGAGAAGAATGGCAGCCAGCATATTATGAACACGCTCATAATCACGCCTAACGTCTTCCGTGCTTTACACTCGCTTCGATCATGTTGCCGAATCTAAAAAACAGAATATCAGTTAGATTAGTTTTGATAGACATCTTCAGGTAAAGTGAACAACAAGCACACTTAGAGCTACCTCCTTATCCCGACTGTCATAAAAATCTCTTATGTAAACCCCTATAGTTCAAGTGGAACCATGCAAGAGTTCACAGCAGCTTTTCTACGGTAATTCTTGTTCAAATTTGAAGAGTTTGCATACATCTTGCGCAGCGCTAATGTGCTTCGCAAAAAATAGTGAAAAATTGTTGTAACAAGTTCGAATTACTTCCAAATGTTCAATTGTTAACGCTTCACGAAGACGACACAGTCAGTTCATTCTATCAATCTTTGCTTTAAAGGTTGAGTGCGTAGAGCGAAATGCACGATAAATATCGAAATACTCGCCGAACTACTACCCATTCTAAGCAAACTTCATATACAATATAATCGATGACCGTAGACAAATTCTAATTCTATGAGTATTTAGAAGTGATCACTGACAAAGGTGAGGTGAGAATGTTTTTTCATACTGTCCGATAACACGTCTCAGATACCTTCCATATGAGACAAAGAACGCTTTCCACTTAAGATAAAGAGTGTAAAAACGATTTTCTTGAATTAACATTGAGGTTAGTGAGCATTTGAGATTCCCGAAGTGACGATCACACTAATTTCAAGGCTTCAAATTCATTTCAAACCCATTCAGCATTCGAATGCGCTAACAGAAGCCGACTGTGAACGGAAGCAATAGTTGTGATTGTTTCCAACTAACGCAGAACTCAATACATGGTGATTTACGTTTATAACACTAAGAAAAACGCATCAAATAAAGCTAATCGATATCCAGATAATCTTCAGACTAACATGTGGCTACCGACATATTTGATTTAATAGCTTGTCATTAACTGAGCCACTTCCCTTGCTCATTCTTTTAAACGGCGTCATTACGTGGCTATAATCTTTCCAAAGAAGTGGCGTACTGCAGTAAACTTTATTCGTCGCTACGGCCACACTATTTTCTCCATAAATCTCTTCGTTCTTTCATTTTATGGAACGGACCCACTCAAGCATAGATTACGGCAGCTGTAAAAGTTCTTCAACATTTCGAGTGGTACATACTTCCAATTTCTTTCAGAATCAATGGTAGGCGTATAAAGAAAAACGACGTTTTCTAGAAGTCTCCTTATCAAATCGTTTTGCTGCCTTGAAAACAATTACGGAGATTATATGCGTATACATATATGTACATATACATATGTATACACATATATATAAATATAAAGGTTGGAAAATAACTCTAATTCTTACGCGTGTATCAGACGCAAAGACCCTCCAAACTGCTGACTGTGCGAAACGAATGTTTCACATTACTCATGCACATCGAGGGCTCTTGTAGCGCAGCGGTTTGAGGAGCCTTGTAACACTAGGGATCGATCCCGCGTCCCAGGGCCTCCAAGTCCTCCATCTCTCCGTTGTCGGTAAATTGGAATTAAACTTGTCTGGGAGGATAGCAGCACAGACTCAGTACATTGGTAGGTGACCGCGCATAATTGTAAAGGTCAGATATGCATTCAATAGCCTCAAACGATTTTTAATGAAATCGAATGCATGACGCATCCCTCAAGGGCTGGTCAACACCAAGAGCTTCGCCTTTTTTTTTTACCGATAACATCAACTTTAAAACGGCGTTTCCAACCACAAGCTCAGTATAATAAGGATGTGCAACTCGCGGGTTCGCAGCAACATTAATAGAGCCATGTTCGCCACTTAAACAAACAAGCTGCAATTACCATTTCGCTATATTGGTCTCTAGGAATTCCTATGAGAAAACTCAAAGAAAGCATCATAATGCTATGGTTAATAGGGTTATTGATATTGGAGGAAATTATGCACTATGTAGTTTTCAACTTTTCACTATTTACTTTGTACTATTTACTAAGTACAAGACTGTCGACGACACATTTCATGAAACTACTATACAATAACAATTACTAATCCGAAGTGCTTTGCAAGAGACCACCCAATGAACAATCTTGAAAAATATGAGTTGCACTGTCAAACGCTTTCTTTCAAAGTTTTACACAATAGTGTAAAATTCACTCAATAACAAAATACGTTGCTTTCCATAGAAATAGTTCGAAAATAGTTTCAGTGTTCGACCTATTATAAAAGGCACCCACAACTTACTTTACATATATAACATGAAATATACTCGTTGTGTTATATGTTATAGCGTTCAAAATGAAAATCTACACCAATATCCACAATCGGCCGGAAGAGTGATTTTGTGAACGAACCTTATGACACTGAATTGAGTGCAAATTCCTATCTAATCTTTACATATTCGGAACACCTTGTATGAACTAGCCGTGGTGTCATTAAACCAAGTTAATGGTGTATAAGGTTATACTAGACCTATAATATATCGGGCAAGAAATACGAAAGTCATATTAGCAGACATATTTTTTGAACTGCGTTCTTGAACGACTTTCGGGCACTTTTCCTAGTTGACAAGCATCGAATAGAGGCCGCCGGTTATTTTAATGGAGTGAAATTCGATCGGTGAGAATACGGCCAGAATTGTGCTGTGTGATAAAAGTGAAAGCCATGCTTCCCCTTCTCCTAGTTCAGCTCCAATTCAAACGAAACCGCGAAAGCTGATATGATGAAATGAGTGTAATTTTTCAATGGTGGCGGATGGTGCATCTGTCAGAGTGCAGCGGATGTTTTTCGACTTAAAAGCATTTATTCCCGGTTGGCTGCAGTATTTAAGAAAGCGGCACTGTGAAGGAAAGCATGCGAATCGCGGGTCCAAAATCTTTCTCAGGGGCAAAAATACCATCATTATATCACAGGATTTAAAGAAAAAACCCCCAAACTAACTGAATTACAATAGGTCCTCCAAAAGCCACAGAGTGCAATCTGTTCACAAAATCAGTTATATGTAGCCCGTAACCCAATGAATGTATGCGCTCAATAATACGGGAGCCATTATGCAGATGAGCAACTGCAAGCACATTCCCGAAGATGTGACGCTTGAGAAAGGAAGCGGCGCGTTGGCCGCAGAGATGAAAACGACGTCCATTTTCACTCACTACTGAGGACCATCGTCCAAACTACGCTGTCATTCTCAAAGATTTGCAAAGAATGATCAATCCACCAAAAGCGCAGTTCCAGATTCCAGACACAAAGAGTTGATAGTACTTTTTAACATATCATAAGGTAATACAATAAGTAATGTGTAATATGTGATAAATATGGAAGATAAGCGTACCAGTGGCATTTTTACGACATGAAAAAGTGTACTTGGACGATGCAAATAACCACGATGATCGCTCTTCACAATCTTCATAGTTTCCTGTGTTTTTGGAATCAGATCGACGTGACTGTTGCCATTTTTATCAACGTCAATGCGAATGTGCTTGGTTTGGTCATGATCTTCGCGTGCAATTCGTTTGGCAGCACGCCAAATCTGCACGTATAGAATCAGCATGATCATTGTTGGACCGTAGAATGAAATAATAGTCGCATAGATCTGATAAGCGAAGTGCTGGATCACCTGCAATGAAAAATAGTCGCACCGATTTTAATCGCCTCATTCAGTCCTCCAAAGTAATGTTGGCACGAAAGGTTTCAGTATTCAACATTCACCAACAATAAAACACCAGCCGACTTCCAAGCCCTTACACTGCAACCCTGTCCCATTAGCGTGTCCCATATTAACAGACAAGTAAAAAGGAAATCAATTTTTTTCATAACTCACTGCCTCACATCTCCCTATGAGGAGCACTCTTACTGCTTAACGACGCAAGGCATCGTTGTATAAAGAATAATAGCGGGAAAAAATGGCGGAGCATGATAATCGACCCATAGGTCAATTTTATGGAAGGAGATCCCAGTCATTACGTATATTAACAATCTCACGCATTTTGCAACTTAACCACACCCGCTGGTCGACTAAACACAAAAGTGGAAAAACCATCACTCATTTTGAAATTCTGATATTAATAAGACAACTAGCATTTTCATTACAAATATGACGTAAGGAATTCAAAAGATTGCAGCAATTAACTGGTTGGCTTGAGATAGAAAGAGAAATAGCCAAACAGCATAGCATAGAGACTCTCATTGCACAGCCGGTTAGGAACGCTTTCGCTACCTGACGAATGACGTGCTCGTGATTTCACCACCATCTCGAAAAAAAATCCATGTGCACCTTTTGTTTATTGAAGAATGTCCGCCACTACGACGATCGAATAAAGCTCAAAACATGTGCAATTATACTCAGTGCCTTTCTACCACCCGCTGTTAAGTTTGTATAAACGCATTCACCGTTCATCTTTGCACTTACTCGATGAAAGTCATTTAATCCAGAGAATACGCTTAGTAATACCTTAAACAATAACAATGAAACTTCAATATCATGCAGAACTACTCCGGTGCTAGGTTTTCAGCACGGAATAGCGGTTGTTCATACTTTTTTGCATACACAATAGGTAAATGACGTGATGTGTGGTAACCAGTGTCTTCCTATCGACATCGATTTTGTTGGCTTTTTCCACAGTTGCAGAAAAGACTGCAATTATGTAGCGGGACCAATAAATAATGACAGAAAGGGAAACAAAAGTAGTTTGGTGCAAAATCCACTGAAAAAAACGTTCAAGCTCAGTAAGAGTTGCAGAATTAACAACGATCATGCCTGTACCGATCAGTAAATCGTCATCAATATGACGAACATACCAACAGCTGTTGTAACTTGGAGGTTTGGATGGAAAAAAGATCCTTAGTATACATGTAAGGAAAACAATAAAAGAAGGTCTAGAACTAGAAAGCCATGCATGAAGGCTACAAAAATGCATGTTAGTATTGTGAACTTCATCACAACAAATTGTGAGACCTCTAATAGAAGCAAAGAGGAACGGCAAAGTGATACCATTTCCGTAACAATCGAGCATCCCTTTTACAAAATATTACCATTGTACATAGTATTTTCAGCGAAATCTGGCCAATATTGGTTAAACACCTCAATAAGCTTAACTCCTGGATATTGTACCTGACATATTCGATCGTCGGAGTGCTCAGTGTCGAGAAGATTTGCAATGATGTGTGACGACAGGCTGACAATAGCCGCTATAACCCAAACGATGACAATGTAGATAAGCATTCGAGCAGTGGTTCTCATAGCTGAATATCTTAGCGGCTGGGTGATAACTAGATAGCGGTCCACTGATATAGCGCAGAGGCTGACTATCGAAGCTGTGCATAGCGTCAGATCGGCTGTCGTCCATAGTTTACACATTGACCTAAAACATAAAAAATTCACCAAATGACTCCTTAAGGAGTGACGTCTTATAGGCACATTCCAGCTTAAGCATCTGTAGTAGTTTCTTCGTTCTTTATTTCTTTAGTGAATTACAGAAGACAAGACTAGCTTTTAGTGAACACAAAAGCGTACCAGTCGACATAATTGAAATAGCGCGCTAACTCGGTTATTAAAGTGATAATTATAAAGTTTCAGATTGCAATAATAATTTAGAAGACCAATACACTTTACTGGAAACTCATATGTATGTTCAAATGCGGTATATGATCGCAGATAATGAAAAATCTCATAGCGATCTCATAGCAAACCGCATGGTGGCAAATCTCCCTCTGATCTACATGGGCTGCGACTACTTATCGTGGTGACTGGGGTAGACTTTGGCCAGGCTGTCCTCGGGATTCCAGGGAACCACAATGGCTTAACCAGCAAATCTCCGAAAAATGGTGATTATGCTGGGACCCACACAACTAGTGAGGATGAGCCGTTCAGGTATCAAGTATCAAGTAAGATCTCATAGCACTTTAGCTGCTAGACATAATGCACACAATACTTTAAATCATTCAAATAATCAGCTGCACTATAGCACAATGGATACGAACATTGCATTACTCTCATTCATATAATCGGCCCTGAACATCAATGTATGAGTGCTGATTTACAAAAAAGCAATAACCAAATGATACAAACCTGCCCAAGGGCCATTCGGCAAAAAGGAGGTCAACGAGAGCCAGTGGCATGACGAGCAATCCCACAAAGAAATCAGCTATCGCTAAGGATAGTATCAGAAAATTAGCTGGTTGCTTCAATTTTCGTACCAGTACAACAGCAAGGCATACTAGCGCGTTACCGACTATCGTCACAATTATCACTATTAACACAACGAAAGCAAGTAGCGTTTTCAGGAAAACCAAGGTCGAATAATAGGTTTGAGTAGCCGATGGCAACGATGTGTGATCGCTTTGATGCCATGGACTCTGCGTTGAAGCTAAGATGGTGCTGGTGAGCGGTGGAAACGCGCGCTCCATCACCACTGCTGTTCCGGCATGGGCGGGACAGCCGGTATGGCGGCCAAAATCGCACCCCTCTCCAGCCGAAGAGCTGCCCACCGGAGGAACACTCAAAGCTGCACCGCACATCGCCCGGATGGACCACAAGTGCAGCTGTCCACTGAAATGGTATTTAATCTTATTATGCAGGCATTTTTTTTAAATAACAAGAAATTTTCAGAGAATCCAAGGTTCTCGCGAAACGAAAAGGGGAGAAAAAGCGTCTAAAAAGATGGAAAGCGTTTTCAAGAAATCGGGCATATCATATTCTCTCCTCATTCGAGTAAGACTCCGAGCTGTTACAGGACCACGTGAAATTGCGGTGACTCTTGATATGTTATTCACAAAATTAAATCCGTAGCTAAAAAGGAAATTACTCACGTAGATGTCAGTCTCTCCAAAAATTCCTTTTCATTCAAGTGATCGAAGAACACCCACGAGTATGTCATCATCTTCAGTCAAATGAATATATACTGCTGTCTCAATGAATGCAATTGTCATTTAGGAAATGTCTTCTTCATATTAACGCATGAAGAACAATCTCAGCACGTCCCTATGTTGAATTATGCATTTTTCATATGAAAAAAATCTCCTAATTTTCGAGTTACCAGGACAGTTGTCAATGACTATTCTTTTTGATGAATGAGCTTTAACAGTGTGTATGATGCATTGCACAATTTTTGACATGCTACAGAAGACAAAAATTTCTTCCAAAGTAGATATTAATGGTGATATGATATATATCAGCCATTATAATTGCATGGTTACTTAGCTGAGAACAATAAAACTTTTAAAAATAGAGCTCCTAGCACAACGTGAAATGTTATGGACGAATTCAGCAACGAATCCCACATGAGTGATCACAGATGAACGTCTTCGTGAATATGCATACCGAAACCAGCTTTTCGTTTCCACTTCCCTTTGCGTGTTCTCATATCACAAACAATTGGAAATGCGCCAGCTCGAATTTCAATTTGAGTTCGCGTCATTCGCTATCCAATAAGCGTCAAATTTCTTTCAAGCCATTACCAACTGTTAAAATAAGGGCACACTTGAAGCATTTACAAGTAAAGGGCTCGCACAGCGTTGCGGCTAAAGGTGCCCTGCAGTCCATCTTGGTTTGACCTCCCGCCCCAGGTTCACTAAGCCTTCCATTCCTTTGGAGTCGGAAAACTGGTACCAGAATTGTTTTGAAAATAGCAGGGCTGAACTGATACATCGATAAGACATGGCAAGTCACTGTATAATTCAGATCTGCATTCAGTCACCTCTAATGATGCTTAATGAAGACAAATGCATAGCGCATTCCTTGTGGGATTGATCAACGCCTAACGCTTTATTCTTCTATCCTTTTTATTTACAAGCAATATCGACATTTTACCTCACTTGAAATAACTCCTGCGCTCATCGAAAAACAATAAACAAGTATATTATTAAAAAAAAGCCAACTGCTAACGCATGACAATGCATACATTACTCACGTGATGTATAAATATATACACTGATAGAAAAAAAACCGAAAATTTGAGCATCGGTTAAGAAAATAACCCTAGCTATTTTAAGGGTGGGCTAAGAACGTGAAACACTGTTAACAGGACAGTCACACCTTTGTACTATGGTTATGACCAAAAACTATCTGCTCATGTTCTCAATAGGTGGTCCTGACGGAGGAGACGGCAGCGTGTGCGACGAGGAGTTGGGCTAGCAATCGCGTCTCCAGATAGGCGCGTGTGTCCGTCAGCCAGTCGCGGATCACCAGCGCCGGCTCTCCGCGCAACAGTTGCGCAACACGAATCGCGTTCTTGAAATCGTTGCGATCCACGTACCACTTAGCACGGGCCAACACCTGCAGCAAAAACCATTCCAGATTGTTGCGAAATGGTTACGATGAATTATCACCAGCTTAGAGTACTGAATGCCCGTGGACCCTCGCAGTTCACTGTTGCGAAGCAAAAATCGGCCCATTCATATTTAATCATATGAGCTTACCAAATGACCGACGGGTAAGGAAAAAGCCCTTCGTCATCTTCCATAAAAACAGTCAGCAATAAGTAGCAACTAAGGCCTTTAGCAACTTTTAATTTAAGCAATTTCTTAACGAAACATAGGGGAAGTAATTTTTGCATAACTAACAACATCAGCGCTGTTCAAACAATGCGAATAACAAATTTATAGAGCGAGTGCATATAAATATTAGGATCAGAAGCCTAAACACTGCTAGCCGAAAAATGAACAACCGTTGGCATGACTTCGACAGACCTCAAGATTGTCTACGGTGCTCGGATCGATCATGTCGTCCTCGGTGAACTTCCTCGACAAGTCAAAAAATAACATCGATCGAAGGTAGGACCACAAGTAATCATTTAGTGTACCACCGTTATCGTCGATTGCTGCCGTCCGACGACCCAATTTATAGATCTATGATCCAGAAATGTAATTTATGAAAACAGGCATAGGTGGTAAAACTTTTTGACACAACGACTTGTATTCATTTGCATTATAATATGAGAAATACGGACACCAATAACATCAAGAATTTCGCTCTTGGAATTATTTCTCATAATGTATCATTATCGTCGAAATACGAAAAAAGAGTTTAAAGTAAATAAAACAGTAGGGAAAAGAAAGCCAGAAAACGCACTTTGCTGAAACGATTTTTAAGGTCCTGCTCAGTGTATACACCTTTCGTTTTCGACACCTCAGGGAAGGCAGAGATTACAGCGTCGACGAACGCGTCCTCACATTCACACTGAAAAAAAGAAACAATTCAACTATTCCGTTTCCAATCGAAAACTACTTTTTCACATGAGCGCAATTTTCGACGAACCAGAAACAATATTTGACTAAAACGACTGCACTTCCATTAGATAATTGTTCGCTGATCATCATTTCGATATTTAATGTTGTTCAACACAATAACGTGTTCGCTTTTTACTACTTTCAACTACTCTCCACCCTTACGACATTCGTTCTTTGTCATGGTCTCTTCTGATGCTACCATGTAAAGTCACTGATATTTAGGACGGCTTCATAAAGCATGTCCGAGCAAGTTATTAGAGATAGAAAGTGGTTTGCCTGAAGCCCAACTCAGATTAAAACGAAGGAATACCTCCGAAGGTATCGCTTATCAAATCCATAACAAGGTCAAAAGGTCAACACAATGCACCTCTTAGTTTCTAAGCCGAGTTTGAAGAAGCAGATGGCTTGAATAACGCATGAGATTAACAAGGATATAGTGAACAGGACAAGGTACACCCGACGCTTTGTTTTGATTCCATAACACTTCCTCGCCTGATGTATCCTTTAAAAACCCTAGACGCTACATAAACATGATGATAAGGCTATCAAAGCAATCGAAGAGGTGATGATAAGGTACGAAGAAAAACGATTAGGGAAGACCAGGAATGTGGCCGAACAATCTAATATGGGAAAAAACAGGTAAGTCAGCCACATGATAGTGCTGAACGACCGCTACAAACGAGCCATCACACACTAGAATCGCTGTGTCTTCAAAAGAACACCAGAAAAAGTTCCAACCCTATACTAAACCTCATAATAAACACCTCATTACCAAATCCACGGATCTCTCTCATATAAGGGATCTCAAGCGGTTAGTCGCGAAGCCATGTGGCGCCTCCCCAGAAGGCGGACCAAAAGCGACCTTTGCTTTCCTGAGACGCAAGTGAATTCAAGGGATGGACTCCCTGTTTCTGCTGCGCCGATTTCGCACATACTTTCTGTATATACTAAGCGAACTCATGCATGTGCGTGTGGGTGCATTCTCGCTTATGCGGATTGTATTCTACGAGTCAATTCGGGTAAAAGCCTGCAATTGAGTGACAGCGAAGTGTATGGGAGGCGATTAGGAGTCGCCTCCAACAAACAAGCTCCATGTCCACTCCCGGAGAGCCTGGAAAACTACACGTGAGTATACCCAGCCACCACGTTCAGAGTCCAACAAGCTATACGTGGGGATCAAGGCGCTAAGCACAGTAAAAAAACAGGCCTCATTCGCCTGATCCCGAAGGGGCCCCAATTTCGCAGCGTTGGGTAGGACGAGTACGGCGAGGCTGCTAAAATCTCAGGGACAATGGAAGCTGCATGGATTTCAAAAAACTACTGCGACAATCTGTACCTACAATGTACCTACACTTGCATCCGAGTCCTCGATAGAAGACACGCTCATGCAAGCAAGAAGAACACGACGTCATCAGCCACACCAAGACGAGACGACGCCACCCATTCAACGCCGCCTATGACGCCGGAGATTAACTGTTCCTCGGAACATACGACAGTAGAGGAGTCGACGGCGTCGGTATTCTCGTCAACACGACCTTGTCCATCCATGAACATCGATCCATTCGAACAGCTTACAACCCGAATCGGACGTTTACGATTTAAAAAAATGTGGATCAATACCGGCTTTGACAATACTTGTCGTTTACGCGCCGACATAAAACTATGACGAAGAAGAAGTCGAAGCGTTTTATATGGACTTGGAGAAGTTCTATAGAGAAAACCATATATTCTTCAAGGTCATCGTTGGAGACAAGACTGGACCAAAAAGAACATCTAAAGAGTGTCACATTGGGACCCATGGATTAGAATGGAACGAACAGGGTGAGAGGCTGTCTGAGTTTATCATGGTGACCAAAACCGTCTATGGTAACTCGCAATTCCAGAAGTCCCACCCTCAACGCTGGACGTGGGAGTCTCCCAGTGGAGGGTAGTATAATGAAATAGACAACATAGTAAACCAAAGGTTTTGCCTAACCGATGTCGCTGTACTCCCAAGATTCTACACGGGATCAGACCATCGTCTCCTTCGTGCAAGATTGTACTTCTCGCGGATAGGAGAAAAAGCCGCTAAATTCAAAAACCGACGTCCCAGAAACACCATTAACTGGGACATATTCAATTCATCAGTCGGCTTTTGGGAGGATTCCGCTGCCGATAACACAGACGAAAAATACGATCCGCTCATTCAACATCTTCACGCTAGCGCAATGATAGCTGAGAGTTCGAAAGTCACCAAGAGACGTCTGTCTTCAGAAACACTCGAGCTGATACGCCAGCGTGGAATCGCACGGGGCTGCAGGCAACCACGGACTGACGTCCGAACTTGCAAGGCAATGCATACAGGCGATAAAAGAAGATCTTAAAGAGAGAACAGCAGAAGTAATGGTCGAAGTTGCAGAGGCTGGGAAACCAATCGCAAAGCCCACCGATGCTTTCCAATTACAAGACCGAGATTATTGCATTTCGATATCCCAGACGGAACAGTTACAGAAACCAGAAAAGCAATGGAGAAAATTATTTGCGAATACTACTCAGACCTCTTCGATAGCCACGTCCACCTTCCGTCATATGAAATAAAGGATGATGGATATGTTGTATCACCGGTTCTTGCTTCCGAAACCCAATATGCAATTTCGTCGGTGAAAAATCGAAAAGCACCAGGTGCAGACAGGATAATACCAGAACGCCTGAAGAACCTTCCGCCAGTCCTCGCAAACAAAGTGGCTCGG